TTACACTAGTTTACAAAATGTCTGGAGGTAAAGGAAGAGCTCCCAGATCCCAAACACCCTGATACTGCTACTTTATGCATCAATGTTACTGAAGCACTACAAGCCATGGGTATAAGCATAGAGGCACTTTACTACTGTATTAGAGAATATATGCCTCAAAGTAAATGAAACGCTCCTAGGTCCGAAACACCTTGATACTGCTATCTCATACAACAACATTGGTGGAGTACTAGAACACATGGGTAAGTACAAAGAAGCACTTGACTATCATAAAAAATGTCTGGAGTTAAATGAACAGTTCCTAGGTCCCAAACACCCTGATACTGCTACCTCATACAACAATGTTGTTGGAGTACTACAAGCCATGGGTAAGGACAGAGACACTTGATTATAAGAGAATATCCCTCAAAGTAAATGAAATGCTCCTAGGTCGCATACACACTGATACTGCTTAGTTATTCAACAGTATTTGTGTTGCACTGATTATCATAAAAAATGTCAGGAAGTAAGGGAAAAGCTTCTTGGTCCCAAACACCCTGATACTGCTGCTTCATACAACAATGTTGTTAGAGTACTGCAAGCCATGGGTGAGTACAGAGGCATTTGCTTATTTTAAAAATTGGTAAGAAGTAGACAATGTGCTAGGCTCTAAACACCCTGATACTGATACAGTATATAATTTGTAATGTACTTGTGAACGTTGGTCAGTTCAAAGAGGTATACTAGAAAATATTCATATTGTCAATGTTATGTACAGTATGTAAGGGTTTATAATCATCCAGATACTGAAAATGAGGTTTTTCCTGCATCTTTATATTCAGTAATGCATCTACCTTTGTGCTGGTTAATGACAATAAAAATCTTCTTAAAAATACAAAATAACTGTTCATATTTCTAGTTGCTAAGCATAATTTAAACAAGGGCATCTCAAATTGTTTAATGTCAAATTAACAACCCTTTGTCTGGAGTAGAGATAGCAATCTGTATTGGGCCTAACTCCTTTACTGAACAAGATTTTTTTTCACGAAAGATTGGCAAAGGTGATGACAAGTATATGGGTTTTCTATCCTTTGTTGTTATTTTGGTTTAAATGTTTTAGCCATGTAGTACTGAGCACCTAATAGCATTGCATCATTGAACATAGGCTTTATTTTGCCTGATTTACAATTACTGAACTAATGCTTTGAAGAAAAATCGCAGGCAGGGTTTTGAAGTTATCACTGGCTTCATTGAATTGGTGGAAACAATATTTATGGGTGCTCAGATAAAGGAAAAACTGATTTTGTATTTTTAACCCCAAAATCGTAATTATGATAATTGTGTAAATGATAAGGAATTTAGTCAATGAAAACTGAAAATCTATATATTGTCCAAAAATGTATGCAAGGTAATAAAATAGGAGTTTTTTTGGCTAACCCTGATAGTAAAATGCTAACAAAACTTATATATATGTAGATCAATGGTATTATTTCAANTTGTTATTTTGGTTTAAATGTTTTAGCCATGAGCACCTTATAACATTGCATCATTGAACAAAGACTTTATTTTGCCTGATTTACAATTACTGAACTAATGCTTTGAAGAAAAATCGCAGGCAGGGTTTTGAAGTTATCACTGGCTTCACTGAATTGGTGGAAACAATATTTATGGGTGCTCAGGTAAAGGAGAAACTGATTTTCTATTTTTTAACCCCAAAATCGTAATTATGATAATTGTGTAAATGATAAGGAATTTAGTCAGTGAAAACTGAAAATCTATATATTATCCAAAAATGTATGCAAGGTAATAAAAAAGGAGTTTTTTGGCTAACCCTAATAGTTAAATGCTAACAAAACTTCACAAAAAAATATATGCAGATCAATGGTATTATTTCAATCTGTACTCAGTCCCAATTCACTCCACATAAATATTGGAAAAGTTATAAATATATATCATGCTTAATCAATACTAACAAAACTTGAAAATGTCTGTTGATAGTTTAATTTCCATGTATACTTATATGTCCTACCTCTTGGCTATGTTCACCAAAGTGTTAGAATATCTCCATAGTCCTCTCCAATGATTTCTCCATAATTTCCCAACCTTTACAATAAAATGACTCTTAAGTTCTAACTTCTACAAACATATCTAAAGAGTCCCTAAATTTGTAAAAAATATCTGGGCAGTCTTATTTTTTGCAAGGATATCTAGGATGCCCTCACTGTAACTGCCCGCGATATTTTTATTTTATTTATTTATTTTTATTTTTTATTTTGAGTTTGTTCTTTGTTTAGTTATTCTTCATTCAAAGTACATTTTCCGTTCTTTCTCTGCTTTCTCTTCTCTTTCTCTCTCTGTCTCTCTCTCTCACTCTCTACTAATTATAACGTTACAGGCCACCGCACCTACCTAACCGCACCGTCACATGCCTGTACCACACCCTGCACTGAACAGTTTTCATTTCACAGCATATATAAGGCCTCCTCCCTATTTCTTTTTGCTCACTTCACTTTCTTACACAGAACGGTACGGATACTCTAACGACACCATTTTAGCACACCCAGTCGGAGGAAAAGGTAATTATTTCAACGATAACGTAAACTTCTCTGGCTTTGGGTATTTCAACGTTTCTATCTATCCTTTTATAACGATATTAGCACACTTGGTCGGGGGTAAGGTAAATTATTTCAACGCTAAAGTAACGTAAACTTCTCCGGCTTTGGGTCTTTGCAACGTTTCCGTCTATCCTTTCTCTTACACTTTCGTATGTACTTCGTGTAAATTTGTTATCAATTTTTAGGTTATTTTGTATTTAAATTTGTTTTCAGTATTTTTCGCTACAATTTTTGTTCTGTTATTTATTTTGTTTTATTTTATTTTCTTTCAGTTTTACGTTTGAATTCAATAAAATTCAACCAGTTAGAGACTTCCTTTATTTGACTGAGTGCAGCTACAGTAAAACTTATCTCCGGTGGAGTCTCTCTTCCCGTGGGGACCAACGGTGCAGCCTCTCTTCCCGTGGGGGCCAACGGTGCAGCCTCTCTTCCCGTGGGGGCCAACGGTGCAGCCTCTCCTCCCGTGGGGGCCAACGGTGCAGCCTCTCCTCCCGTGGGGGCCAACGGTGCAGTCTCTCCTCCCGTGGGGGCCAGCGGTGCAGTCTCTCCTCCCGTGGGGGCCAGCGGTGCAGTCTTTCCTCCCGTGGGGGCCAGCGGTGCAATCTCTCCTCCCGTGGGGATCAACGGTGCAGTCTCTCCTCCCGTGGGGGCCAGCGGTGCAGTCTTTCCTCCCGTGGGGGCCAGCGGTGCAATCTCTCCTCCCGTGGGGATCAACGGTGCAGTCTCTCCTCCCGTGGGGGCCAGCGGTGCAGTCTTTCCTCCCGTGGGGGCCAGCGGTGCAATCTCTCCTCCCGTGGGGATCAACGGTGCAGTCTCTCCTCCCGTGGGGGCCAGCGGTGCAGTCTTTCCTCCCGTGGGGGCCAGCGGTGCAATCTCTCCTCCCGTGGGGATCAACGGTGCAGTCTCTCCTCCCGTGGGGGCCAGCGGTGCAGTCTTTCCTCCCGTGGGGGCCAGCGGTGCAATCTCTCCTCCCGTGGGGATCAACGGTGCAGTCTCTCCTCCCGTGGGGGCCAGCGGTGCAGTCTTTCCTCCCGTGGGGGCCAGCGGTGCAATCTCTCCTCCCGTGGGGACCAACGGTGCAGTCTCTCCTCCCGTGGGGGCCAACGGTGCAGTCTCTCCTCCCGTGGGGGCCAGCGGTGCAGTCTCTCCTCCCGTGGGGGCCAGCGGTGCAGTCTTTCCTCCCGTGGGGGCCAGCGGTGCAATCTCTCCTCCCGTGGGGGCCAACGGTGCAGTCTCTCCTCCCGTGGGGGCCAGCGGTGCAGTCTCTCCTCCCGTGGGGGCCAGCGGTGCAGTCTTTCCTCCCGTGGGGGCCAGCGGTGCAATCTCTCCTCCCGTGGGGATCAACGGTGCAGTCTCTCCTCCCGTGGGGGCCAACGTTGCAGTCTCTCCTCCCGTGGGGGCCAGCGGTGCAATCTCTCCTCCCGTGGGGATCAACGGTGCAGTCTCTCCTCCCATGGGGATCAACGGTGCAATCTCCCTCCCCGTAGTTATTCAACGGACAAGTGGTGTTCATGGACAAACATGAAAGTGACAGAGCAGACAGTGGGGCAGAGGAAAGCGTAAGACGGACTCAACGAAAACAGAAAGTGACAAAAAGAATGGCAGAATATTTAGAAGCAAGAAAACGTGAAATAGCGCAGTTGACCAGTGCCAAACGCTCTACCGGTGATTCCGCTACAACTGAGAGTCAAGATCAGGCCGAGTCTGGCGATGGTGGGAGTCACGTTAACACTACACAGAATGCAAGCGCTGCTACACCTGCGACGTCGCTACAAGATATGAACACTTTAGATAAAGCTCTGACCGATTCCATGAACCTCAACAGACTACCGATTCCAGAACCCAGCGTTTTTACTGGAGATCCACTACAGTATTTAGAATGGAAGACCTCCTTTCAGATGCTCATAGAACGCAAAGGTATACCCTCTGAAGAAAGGATCTTCTACTTAAAGAGGTATGTGGGATATCCAGCACGTAAAGCACTCGAAGGGTTTTTCTACAGTAACAGCCCTTCTACATTTCACAGCGCATGGAAAATTCTGGATGAACGTTACGGACACCCCTTCCTAGTACAGAAAGCCTTCCGAGACGAGCTAGACACGTGGCCTAAGATCCCGCCCAACGACCCTGTAGCTCTGAGGGACTTTGGTGACTTTCTGCAAGCCTGTCATGATGCAATTCCACACATGCCTAATCTGCGCATTTTAAACGATTGTACAGAAAACCAGAAGCTCATTGCCAAACTGCCAGAGTGGGTGACAGTGAGGTGGAACCGTGAAGTGACGCAGTGTATTGACATTACAGGTGAATACCCTCCTTTTCAGATGTTTGTGGAGTTTGTGACCAAGGAAGCCAGAATTGCCTGCAACCCGATTTCGTCAATACACGCCCTCAATGCTACGACGAATGCTGCGGCTCACAAGGTCAAAGGTAATGCCAACGTTCTTACCACTACTTCCAGTCCACCTGTGTATGTTTGCAGTTACTGTCAGAAAGGACATTTCATTTCACAGTGTGAAAATTTTCGATCTCTGACACTTGATCACAAACGCACTTTTATTCGTGAGAACAATCTATGTTACGGGTGTTTACATCATGTCCATCACAACAACACTTGTAAAAGGAAACTAAGATGCAAAAAATGCCAGGGAAGACATCCCACGTGTTTACATGATGACAACTTTAAGTTAGCGCGTCCACATCCGCCAGCAGAGTACCAGGTAGCAAATTCTCTCCAGATTGACCAAGGTAAAGATGACAGCACATCCATGATAGTTCCAGTGTGGGTTTCCAGTAGAGAAAATCCGTCAAAGGAAATCCTTACGTATGCTCTCCTGGACACATAAAGCGACACTTCTTTTATTCTACAAGAGACGGCTACAGCATTGCAGATTACCGGACAGCCCGCACGTTTATCGTTGTCAACAATGACCGCCTCAAACACAGTTATTAACAGTTCCTGGATTTCCAGTTTACAAGTAAGAGCCTTCATTTCATCTGAAATTGTAACCATCAATGCATGTTTCACGAGAGATTTCATACCAGCAAATCGATCTCACATTGCAGTGACGGAAACAGTTAGTAAGTGGCCACATTTACAACAACTTACTGCCGAGTTACCACCCCTACAGTCATGTGAGGTAGGCCTTTTGATTGGGTACAACTGTCCGATGGCTCTTGCTCAAAGAAAGGTGTTAATTGGAAAAGAAAATAGCCCTTTGCAGTCCAGACTCTGCTTGGTTGGAGCGTGGTGGGATACTCTACTCCTCCAAGTGCCAATGTCAACGTTGTCATTGCTCATCGTACAGCCAACAAAGTTTTACCTCAGTGTTCTTCAAAAGAGGTCATCAGAGTAATAAAAAAGGACTTCGCTCATGACAAAAGCAGCCTTGCCGAAATCTCCAAATCTTCATGGTTGACTGGACCCTCCTTTCCTTGGCAACGGCAGGTGAAACTGGAACGTGTCACTACAGAACTACAATTGGTGGATCCAGAGGTGAGAGCCTTTTCATTGTGTACGGCAGTTACGTCTACAATGCCAAATATCCTTGACCTCTTCACGAGATTCTCTTGTTCGTGGAAAACCGTGTCTGAGATGGGGAGGATCCAACGAATTGCAAATGGTGTAAATGGAACACAGCCTCTGACAATTGAAGAAAGAAGAAAGGCAGAAAAACCTATTGTTATGCTTACCCAACGCGAGGCATTTCCAGACACATTCAGTGCCCTCGATGCAGCTACCACGTTACTTAAGACGCACCAGCTTTACCCCCTAGATCTGGTTCTTGAAGATGATCTTCTTCGAGACGGCGGCCGATTACGGAAAGCAGCTTTTCCAACGCCATTCAAACATCAAGCCATCCTACCAAAGAATCGTCATGTCAAGCGACTGATTCTTGATTATGCTCACACGGACTCCCAACACCAGGGCAGAGGTATGACTCTCAACAAGCTTCATTCCCTTGGTTTTTGGATTGTAGGTGGCAGCAAGGTCATCGCAAAATTCATTGGTCAGTGTGTTACTTGCAGAAAATTGAGGAGACTGACCGAGTCCCAGAAAATAGCAGATTTACCCAAAGATCGCGTAGAACCAACGCCACCCTTCACCTACTGCGGTATAGACTGTTTTGAGCCTTTTCTCGTTAAGCAGGGACGCAAAGAAATGAAAAGGTATGGACTTTTGATAACTTGTATGTGTTCACGTGCAATCCACATCGAGTTGTTAGATGATATGTCAACTGATTCTTTCATCAAAGCTTTACGGTGTTTCATTGTGACTCGTGGTGCTGTTAGACAGATCTGTTCAGACCAAGGTTCCAACTTCATTGGTGCGATTAACGAATTTCAACATCGAGTGGACAGCAACAAGTTAGCAACGTTTCTAACCAAAAGACAATGTAAATTCATTCTTAATGCGCCCCATGCAAGCCACACTGGAGGAGTGTGGGAGAGGCAAATAAGAACTGTGAGGGAAATTCTTAATTCCGTGCTTCAATTGTGCCCAGGTAGAATGGACGATTCATCTCTCAGGACTGTTTTCTACGAGGTCATGTCAATCGGCAATAGCCGACCATTAACAGTGAGTGAAATCAATGATCCGAAAACCCTTGAACCGCTCACTCCAAACCACATTTTGACCGCCAAGGCTGATATACTGTTTCCTCCTCCAGGTAATTTCGTCAGGGAAGATCTCTTTCTACAAAAGCGCGTCCAATATTTGCTAGAACAGTTTTGGTCTAGGTGGAAAAAGGAATACATCAGTCAAATTTCTCTGCGACAGAAGTGGCATGAACCTCGTCATAATATGCGGAAAGGAGATGTTGTTTTGATCAAAGATATAGAACTTCCTCGAAACCAGTGGCCTCTGGCTCGAGTAGTGGAAGCCAATGCAGACGATGATGGACTTGTGAGAAGAGTTAAAGTCAGAACGGGTTGTTCTGGAACTTTGGGATCTTCTATTCTTGAGCGAAATGTACAAAAACTAGTATTATTGGTTGAAAATTTAAGTGTTTACATGTGTACATACATTACAGTGACATTACTACAATGACTTTATTGCAGTGACAGTGATATATTTCTGATTATATATGGACACTATTGGAACGAGTCTACATATATTGCTTAAAATGATTATATATCATTAAAAGACTGGATTCATTAAGTTTATTTGTATAACGTACATTGCTTCAATTAACGACAGCCAGCAGTAACTGTTTAATTTATTTAATTGTTTGCACATCATATAATGGTTCATTTACATTTAATTTACTGTTTTTCTAATTGCTAGCATATCCAACATTTAGTGGTAATTGCTTATTCATAACATAGCAGTTAAATTTCTTTATTTACTTAAAATCAATTTGATTTTGGTGGGAGTGTAACTGCCCGCGATATTTTTATTTTATTTATTTATTTTTTATTTTGAGTTTGTTCTTTGTTTAGTTATTATTCATTCGAAGTACATTTTCCGTTCTTTCTCTGTTTTCTCTTTCTCTCTCTCTCTCTCTCTCTCTCTACTAATTATAACGTTACAGGCCACCGCACCTACCTAACCGCACCGTCACATGCCTGTACCACACCCTGCACTGAACAGTTTTCATTTCACAGCACAATACCCAGATGACAGGTAGGCTTACAAAATTTGTGATGGGGTATGATTCTCTGTAATGCGATCTGACACACACCTTGAAAACGGATAGTGTGGTCTGATATGCCGGTTTATTCTGGATCCGTAGGTGCCGAGTCTGGTAGTTGGGTAGGCCTGTAATTTGTACTGTACCTGTACTTGTGAACATGGGTCAGTTCAAAGAGGTATTAGAAAATATTCATATTGTAAATGTTATGTACAGTATGTAAGGCTTTATAATCATCCAGATACTGAAAATGAGGTTTTTCCTGCATCTAAATATTCAATAATGCATCTACCTTTGGGCTGGTTAATGACAATAAAAATCTCCTTAAAAATACAAAATAACTGTTCATATTTCTAGTTGCTAAGCATAATTTAAACATGGGCATCTCAAATTGTTTAATGTCAAATTAACAACCCTTTGTCTTGAGTAGAGATAGCAATCTGTATTGGGCCTGACTCCTTTACTGAACAAGATTTTTTTTCACGAAAGATTGGCAAAGGTGATGACAAGTATATGGGTTTTCTATCCTTTGTTGTTATTTTGGTTTAAATGTTTTAGCCATGAGCACCTTATAACATTGCATCATTGAACAAAGACTTTATTTTGCCTGATTTACAATTACTGAACTAATGCTTTGAAGAAAAATCGCAGGCAGGGTTTTGAAGTTATCACTGGCTTCACTGAATTGGTGGAAACAATATTTATGGGTGCTCAGGTAGAGGAGAAACTGATTTTCTATTTTTTAACCCCAAAATCGTAATTATGATAATTGTGTAAATGATAAGGAATTTAGTCAGTGAAAACTGAAAATCTATATATTATCCAAAAATGTATGCAAGGTAATAAAAAAGGAGTTTTTTGGCTAACCCTAATAGTTAAATGCTAACAAAACTTCACAAAAAAATATATGCAGATCAATGGTATTATTTCAATCTGTACTCAGTCCCAATTCGCTCCACATAAATATTGGAAAAGTTATAAATATATATCATGCTTAATCAATACTAACAAAACTTGAAAATGTCTGTAGATAGTTTAATTTCCATGTATACTTATATGTCCTACCTCTTGGCTATGTTCTCCAAAGTGTTAGAATGTCTCCATAGTCCTCTCCAATGATTTCTCCATAATCTCCCAACCTCTACAATAAAATGACTCTTAAGTTCTAACTTCTACAAACATATCTAAAGAGTCCCTAGTTTTGCAAAAAATATCTGGGCAGTCTTATTTTTTGCAAGGATATCTAGGTGCCCTCACTCCTCTAAGATTATCTAGGTAGTCCTGACTTTTGTAGGAGTATTGATATAGTACTCCAGGAACAACTTCAAGCATATACATCCTAACTATATAATTTATGTGGGTGCCTGGCTATCCATCCTAACTATATAATTTATGTGGATGCCTGGCTATCCATCCTAACTATATAATTTATGTGGGTGCCTGGCTATCCATCCTAACTATATAATTTATGTGGATGCCTGGCTATCCATCCTAACTATATAATTTATGTGGGTGCCTGGCTATCCATCCTAACTAACTATATAATTTATGTGGGGGCCTGGCTATCCATCCTAACTAACTATATAATTTATGTGGGTGCCTGATCAAGTTACTTTTCCTCCAAGGGGTTATTTATCACTTTATGTGAAAAAAAATCTTGCAATAAAATATATGGACCTACATAGTTTGGTGCCAAAATATAAGATGATTGCCTCCTGTTTAAATACTTCCTAACTGGCTATTTATTTTAGGCGTACAAATATGTTATATAATTCTGAGATGTATGTTATCATGTGATAACTTCTACTAAGCAGGTTATGTTTTTGCCTATGTTAGTTTGTTAGTTAACAGCCTAACTTAAGAAGTTAGGGTGGGTTTGGATACAAAAAATAGGAAAAGTGAGAAGTTAGTATTGATTAGATTTTGATGGTGATCTATTGATTAATCAATTAATGATAAGAAAAGAGACACCTCAGCAAAGACCAGCCTGCTCTGAGTGCTATTCTAGTTTTGTTCTGCAATGAATATGTTTACAAAACATCACATTACTTTTACTGTATCCGTGGAGGTTTACAATTTCTAAATATTTTATTTTACCTCTGCATCCACTTCATCATAAAGAGGACTGAAAACCTATGTGTCACCGCATGGGTTCTGGAAATGCAGAATAAAATCAATAATTATAGTTATGATAGTTCAAATTCTCTATGTGATAGTTCTGACAGTTCATAAACTGATAATTTAACCATGAAGTGCTGGTGTAACGAAGGTCCATAACCAGGGGAGTTTTAAGGGTTTGAACAAACCTCCCTTTTTGCTGGGGAAAAGGTCCCTTCGAGGTAAATTTTATCTAGGTACACAAAGTTTCATAGTAAAAAGGTCACTTTTTCAGAAAAAAAAACTTTTCAAATTGCTGGTTAAGGGCCTGATCTATGTTGCCTTCATGATTTTTTCACAACTGAAGAGTTGAAATTTATCTGTTTTTATTTGTATATTAGATGGTAAACTTTGTTAGAACTTTACGTTGGAGAGTGTTTAATGTGAGTTTGTATCTGCACATGCATACATTTACACATTTATTTGGTTACATGATAAGTATCAGTTGGGTGGTAATTAATGTTTCATAATTTTTATACATGAACTATTGTTTATTACTGAGATATCTGTGTATTTATTCATATCTGCTACATGTAAAAGAACTTAAGTAGTTTATTAAGTAATAATAAATAAAGTGAAACAACACTAAGCTGGTGTGCATCAGTACACAAAGCTTACTAGTATGTCCATTAAATTGGAATGCTCCATATACTGTGTATGGAAATCAAATGCAGATTACAAATATTGTTTATTAAGGGATAGTTATTGTCATAAATTTTTTTTTTAGAAATTATGATAAGTATTATTTCATTTTTAAGAAATGTATGTATATAATCCATAGACATATTTTATTTACTCAAAATATGTACTTTCATTATTTTATCTTTAGAATTAAATTAGAAAATTCCTATTATATTTACTACCAACAGTCATTATTGTATTTTATTATAAGAAACTTAGTATTGACAATCAATCTTATTAGTTATGAACTTTGTCAGACCTGATGAATAACTACCAGTCTTTAAGGATATTGTAACCCTTTATTATCATCCAGATACCAAAAATGATTTTTTTTCTGTATCTAATTATCAAAAAATGCATCTATCTTTGTGCTGATTTAAAACAATAAAAAACCTTCGAAAATATCAAAAATTCTGCGTTTATATTACTAGTTGCTATGTATAAGCATAGCAACTCATAGATTTCATCAATTTATTACCTTTCTAATTTGAGGCAAGATAGCAATTGGTGTTGGGCATAACTACATACCTGAAGAAGATTTTAACCAGAAAATTGACAGAGTTGACCACAAATGTGTGAGCCACAATCCCGTGCAGTCGTTTTGTTTTAAATGCTTTTTTTATGGAGTTATGAACCCCTAATTACAGAATTTCATTAATCAAAAGCATTATTTTGCTTTATCAATGATAAAATCTTAACTAAGACTTTTAAGAAAAATTCCTGCAGGGGTTTGGAGTACTAAATGGTGTCATTAAATCTGTACTGAAATGGTGATCATGGGTGCTTAGATAAAGGAGAAATGTGAGAATTAATCCATTTTTTTTTCATCCCAAAATCGCAATTATGACATCACTCGTAAGATAACTTATGTTTAAATGTAAATTTATTTACTCAATGAACACTCAAAAATTATTTATTAGTACCAAAAGAATAAATTTGTAATGCAGTTTATAAAGAGCTTTGGGCAAAGTGTGACCATATCCTTAATATTTTTTAATATAAAATTAAAAGTGAAATAACATGGGTTCATAACACATTAAAAGAAAAGTTATTCCTAGTCAAGAGAATTTACTTGAACCTCATTATTACCAGTCCCAAAGTTTACTATTAGTAAGAGATGGACAGTTTTACCAGGCCATGAACACTTCATTCTTAATCTGGGCATTGCTTTAGTACATTCTGCATACTTAAGACTGAAATGTCTAAAGTTAAGCCCAAAATTTTCATTAACTTTGTCCTAACACAAATAGGTAGTGTTCCATTAAATGCAATGCTGCTCCCATTTTATAACAGAAAAGATGTGGCGAATGTAGCAGACTAACACTTACTTTATTTTATAACAGAAAAGACATGGCTAATGTAGCAGACTAAGGGCATATTCCCAGAGCTTTTAGATCGATCTATCCCCGTAGGGAGTCTCACTAGATTACTGTCAGATAATCCGGCTTAAATGTCCGTCCAGCCTACTACAAGCTGTAAGGGGGTAATTAACTTTCGTGTCCACTCAGCTGACAGCTATTTAGCGTGAACACCCAGGGAGTTAGGTCAATCCAAAGTAGATCAATCTAATCTCTGGAAA